CATTAAAGCAACTGGGCAGAATAATTTCATCACTAAATGTCATGTCCAAGCTACAATCAAACCAAATCTCCCCACACTTAGGGGTGACATCCAATGGCGGACCCACTAAGAGTCCCATGGAGTCCCGGGACCCTGTGGGCTTCGAAAAAATTACCTATATATATTACATATATTTTACAAAATTTACCTATATATGATATGTATATATAAAACATATGCGACAAAGAGATCAAATTGCTCAAGCAGAGAAATGGTACCATGCGTGCCTCTAAGCCCTTCTCAACCCTGAGGGCAGGGTTTGATTCCCTCCCATTCCTTTTATTTTAAAACTCCAATGACTTCCTTTTTGTTCAATTTTGATTAATTCATTTTTTTGAATTAATTATAAAATTGCTTTAAATATTAAGATTAAAGCTTCAATGATGTCCTTTTGTTCAATTTTTAAACCCCTTCAAACCGCAGACCATAGGAAATCTATCTCCCTTCATATCTCAAACATTTCTTATTAATTCATTTTTTTTGAATTAATTATAAAATTGCTTTAAATATTAAGATTAAATTAAAAAATTACGTATTATGTATTTATGACTGTTTTTTATTGAAATTATACGATTAAGGATGAAAATATATTTTTGTAATGCACCCATATTGAAAGAAATTTGGAGTACCGAGAGTAGTTAAGATATTAATTCAAATGATTTGCCTTTAGTAAATAAAGAATTGGATCTAGTTCTTGCTGAAAGTGAAACTAATTTGACATATAATTTACATGAACAACATGCTAATTTCATCCTATGTTCAAGACAAGGTACATCGTAGTTACCATAAAAAGGATCGTTTCTACATTGGGATCATGATTTCCCTATTAAAGTAATTGATGGCAAAAAATGTAGATTTATTTCAAGTTGGTTTGATGAGCATAAATGGTTGGAATACAACATTGTCAAAGATGCTGCATTTTGTTTACTGTGTTACGGAGTATTTGATTAGGAATGAGTGGGAAGTTAGTGGTAATCATTTTTTGGGAATATGATTTTAAGGATGGATTAAAAAAAGACAGATTTTATGTACATATTGGTGGATCTATATATTATAGAATATTTCTAACAAATGAAACCTAGGAGGGAACGTAACTTTTGTAGAATTGTTTAATGACTTTTATATGTATTTTTTTCTTTATATCATATTAATGTTTTGATGATGCTATATGCTTATTAATATTTTTCTGTAATTTTATACTAATGAGATTTACATTAGTTTAGGGACCCCGTGACTCTGATTTTCTGGGTCCGCCATTGGTGACATCGACCTCGAGGTCAAAGAAAAGATTAAAAATGGAAATAACATGAGCAAGTTAAATATAAAATGATTTTCATCCCGACAACACATCATAATCAGAATAATAATCAATACAAATCATAACTCATTACGAGTAAAATGTTATGACTTCTGGAAAATCAGCACTATCTAAACGTAAAATCAGCAAAATTAAATTTGATGCGTAATATTGATTATTTTCCCAAATATAAAAAATAATGTATAATTAACTCATTACTTATGTGACATGATTCAGAAAAAGAGCAAAGACAACGCGATATTGTTAAAAAATAATCTACCATTTTCATTTTGTACATAGTTGATTTTCGCATGAGCCGTTTTTCTGGCTCATGAGCCAGAAAAACGTTTAGCTGAACTTATAGTTGATTTTGTACCGTTTTTATGACGGTACAGCATATATATAGTTGCATCTCTTCTACATTGCATATTCGTTATGAACTTATAATATTACCTCTCTTTTTTAGACATAAGCCCGTAAACACATATAATGATTCTTAATGAAATTTATATGAATAAGAATATAAGATACTTTTGTATGAATAAATTTGACCTGAACAAATAATATTTCATCCATTTGATACTCTCATTATGTTTTTGTCGATCCCATTAGGTAATACTTGTGCTCATTTAATCTATTCCTATTTTATTTATACTTTACAAACTCAATAACAATTATATAATTTGATTTTTTAAATAATTGTATCACTTTTTAATATCTCAATCTTATGGGCGTGGCTACAGTATTACTTTCTCAGTTACCATTCTCGAAGCATGAAGCAATCTAGCTATATGTCAATTTCAATTTCTGTTTCCCTAGTGACCATTCTCGAATCAATCAGTTGTATGTCAATTTTAAATTTATTTTCCTAGTTACGCTAGTAAAAATATTAGTGTGTTTTGTACGGAGTAACATATTGAGCCTGTTTGGTAGCACGAAAATCGGCTGTTTTGGCTGATTCTGCTGAAATTTATGAAGTTCTGGCTGAAGTGACTGTTTTGGCTGATTCTGCTGATTTAAGAAAAAAATATTTTTAAAATATATTTCATTAATAAAATAAAGAAAAAATTATATGTAAAAATAGCTAAAATGGTCATCTACGGTAACTTCAACCAATACAGCCAGAAAAGTAACTTCAACCTTACTTTTTCTGCTTATTACACAATTTAATTAGCGCGCGAAAGCAAAAGTTACGTGTTTGGTGAGAAAGTTGGTTGATAAGCCTGATAAACCGAAAAACAATGTTACCAAACGGCCTCATTAATAATTTATAGCACAGTATTTGTTAATATAGAGTAATTAGTTTCACGTTCAGGCAGTGAAAAACCTAGTGGCATGGGGGCTAAAGACCGAAATAAAGTAATTTTTTGTTTGAAAATATAGTATTAAAAGTTATGATAAAATTAGTGCCTCAATCTAGAAAAACGATAACTATAAAATAAAGTGATAATTTGTCAGTCAATGACAATTGTTTGAGATGCATGGGTAATGCCGTAATGGTCACTGAGTTGTAATAGAGCAACTCCATAGAGTTAAACACGTTAATGGCATAAATTGATTATTTAAAGGGAGAAGGCTCAAAAAAGACATTAAAGTTATATGGGAAGTTCAAATTGAACACTAATATTTTAATAGGACCAAATAAACACATAAATGACTTATTTTAGTAACATTTAGCCACCCACTAACTTTTCTTTTGACCGACTATCCTAAAAACGTTAACCCATCTCTTATCCCTTTGATTTAAGGCTACAAACCAGATAAATACAATTCCAGATGGTGCTCCATGGCCATTGAATCCTCATATCTCCATTATCACCGGCTTTCGTATTTCCGGAATATAAATCACATCCTTGCTTACAACCATCACAACGAATCCCGAACCGAGCTCATTGACATCTGTCCACAGGTTGGCAACCATAAGAATAATCATAACTAAGAAACGTAACTGGGCGGAGTTATTTTGTGTAATTTTCTCCTTTTGTTCGTCTTCTTATTTTTTACTTCTTTAGTGTATTAACAATCTATTCTCACAATCTCAAGTGTTTGGGATGAAGGAATTCAAAGGGAAGCATGGGTGGTGGAGATGTATCACAAAACGTACAATATGTAGTAATACACCTGCGTTGAAAAATAGAAATCATAAGAAGAATAGAAGATGATAGGTTTACACTTTAGAATATATAGAGAGAAGGTGAGGCATGAGTGGAAGTTAGATGATAAAAAAATGTTAACGGGCACCGTTAGTGAAACGTGAGTGGGTGGCCAAATATTATCAAAATAAGTGGGTTTTGTGTTAATTTGGTCCACCTAAAAGCTAAGTGTTCAATTTGAGATTGACAAATAACCTTAATGTTCTTTTTGAACCTTCTCCCTTATTTAAATGACATTGATTATTTTTTAAATGACATTGATTATTCTTTGTAAATTGTCTTTCTCCAAGTTATGCTCATGATATGATATGACTTCTAATATGTGTGGCGAGCTTAATTGTTGGATCCAAGACTCTTTTCACTAATGAAAATCCACACACAAGATATATTCATGATTTTGCGCACCAATTGTAATTAGTTGTTGTAGTTGTTACACAAAAATTAAGTTTGTGAGTGACTTCTTTGAATGCTTGCCCATGATTACTATATTCTTGTAAAAGAAAAGACGGATTGTAGCCAAACTAATACGAGATCATGGTAAAGATTTTAGAAAGGGTGGAATGTACAATCACAAAAGAATGTTATATGACGAAAGGCATTGGTAGTAGCTTGATATAGAAAAGATTGAAAATAATCAATCTTATAACCAATCAGCCCAAAGCTTCATATAGTAAGGTTCACATTATAACCATTGCTTGGTATTCTTTGTATATGATCTCCTACAAAAGGCATTGGCAGTAACTTGATACAGTAAAGAAGGAAAATAATCAATTTGTTTTATTGTTAAATTTACAAAGAAAGTGTTCACCAAAAAATTGTAACATTTCCTATAACAAAAAGAACGAAATATTTTCAAAGTGATGAGCTTGCTTAGGATCGGAGCTAATGGAAATTTTCAAGACTACAGCGAAAATGGATGACAAAAAATGGAGTATTTTCTATTGAGTTCGCAAAAAGATAGTTGAAGTTAGAGTTCAGAATTTTTTCACTTGAAATATCATCTAATTGAGTTGGCTTTAGTGTTGCCAATTGCAAGAGCCACATTTGAAAAAGTCCTCTGCGATAGATGTTATCAATACAGATTTTCACAATAAGATTTTAGATGACTTTTATGATTTGCTTAATGTGTTAGATCAAGAGAGATAAATTAGAAGCCTTGGTTATGAAACTGTTATGCAACATTTCCAAAATATGAGAACTCGTAGAATTGATATACAGAAATGGAAAAAATGAGTTATTTAGAATGTAATTAATTACTACGTATAATTTACGCTAAGTACTTACTTTTTACTATTTTTTAAAACATTTGAAGATATTATGAAACATATTTTAATGTCCACGATGCCTCTCCTTTCACAAATCTCTTGATCTGTACTGCAACAGTCCAGTAAATGTGGAACAAAATGTAAATGTGGAACAAAATGAAAGCTACCAGCATGATATGAAACAAACTAACTAAATGAAGACTAACTATCAGATAGCACGACACATAGTGCAATGAGAACTAAAAACACTAAATTTGTAAATAATATTCTTATTGTCAACTAAAAACTACAACTAGCCCATATAACTTTTGTTTTGTAAGAACACATAAATGAATCAAAAGCTATAAAAAAAACAGAGAAAGTAACAAGGTAAAAGCAGGTGAAGTACTTAAAATCATGAAACAGACTGCATTTCATTCTCTCTTGAAACTTCTTCAAGGGATTTGCCCTTAGATTCAGGGACCAAGAATGTGAAAAGTGTTCCCAAAAGGTTAACCACTCCCAACAAAATTAGGGAATTCCTCACCCCTATTCCTGCAGGGTACCCTGCATCAGCCTTTGACTTGTCCTGCGGCTGGGCCAAATACAAGAACCCGAATGCCCCCACCATTGCTCCAAGCTTCCCTGAAGCCGCTGATATCCCATGACACGTGGACCTCAGCCTCGCCGGAAATATCTCCGCCGGGACCACAAAGGTGGTGGCGTTTGGCCCGAAGTTGGCGAAGAAGAAAGTCAGTGAATATAAGACCACAAAACCGATATGGTTTCCCGGGTGAGTCCAGTGGTTGTAAGGAATGGCGAGGGCAAACATGAAGGCCGTCATCATTAAGAAGCCTAGAAGTTGGATCGAGAACCTTCCGATTCTGTCAATTAAGAAGACGGTGAACCAGTATCCCGGAACAGTGCTCATTAGGGCTATCAGCGTCTGAGCCTTTGCGATTTTGAAAACCTCTTGGGTCGCGCTCATCGTCTTCGCCGCTGGAATCCATCCAACCGCGCTGAATATGTCTTTCTGGAACAGATTCTGACTGTAATAAGCTATGTCCAGGAGAAACCATGTAGATGTGGTCCCCAGTAAGTGGAGCCCGTGCCGGCGTGCGAATTCCTTCGAAAACAGACCGAAAGCGCCGGCGGACTTCGATTGATTCTCCGGCGGCACCACCTCCGCTTCCAGATCTACCTGCATTACCTTCGACATATCCGCCGTCGCCTGCTTCACATTGTTCGCCACTAACGCCGTGTACCTAGCGGTTTCCGGCATCTTCGTCCTCCAATACCACGTCAACAGGGCCGGGACCGCCCCCGCCATCAGGATGATTCTCCAAACATAATCCGCCTGCGGAACCGTGGACCCCACCGGATCCACCTCGTACGGCGGCGCATGGTAATTGGCCTCAAAAATGGCTGAGACTACGATCGCGAAGATTCCACCCGCCAGAATTCCAAACCCCTGCATGGCGAAAACCGCCGCGATGAAAGCTCCGCGAGTCTTCTTGTTGGCGTACTCCGACATTATGGTGGCGGAGAGGGGATAATCGCCGCCGATCCCGAATCCGAGCCAGAACCGGAAGAAACAGAGTGTTGCCATCACGGAACTAGGGCTCCGACCAAACGAGAGACCCGATGCAATCGAACAACCGCACATCAACATCAGAGTGATCCCGTATACTTTCTTCCTCCCCAACCTATCCCCGAGCCAGCCAAAGAAGAGTTGCCCGGCGAGCGTCCCGCAGAAAGCGACACCGTTGACGGCGGACGCCACATTCGGCGGCAAACTACCCGGTTTCGGGGAACCATCGACATGATAATAAATCCGGCCGAGTAATTTCGTGACTAGAGAGATACAGAACAGATCGTAAGCGTCGGTGAAGAATCCCATTCCGGCGATTATGATCGCCGTGAAGTGATACCATTGCGTCTTCGCCTGATCGAGTGCACTCAACACTTTCATCTCCCCTGTCGCCATGTCACAAAATAGGCGATATCCCTCTTATCTAAAATAAATAAGAAATACTCAGATCATAGACCATAATCTTCTTCTTCTCAATAGAAATACAATATACGAATAAACGAGGAAGATTAATTGGAGATGATAACAAATCTATAAATAATACATTTCAAGAATACAATCAAAGAGAGTATTGACACATGCCAATTCCACATAGGAATACAACTCCACTAAGAGCATCTTCAATGCTCTTCTTTTGAAAGACTCAAAATTGTGCCAAATGTATATGATCAAGAATTATGTCTAACCGCATCAACTATACATTGAAAGTATTAAATAAAAAATCTCCAATGCACAAAGTTAATATTTTAGAATACAAAATATTTATTGAACAGAAAAGGTAAAAATATGGGCAGCCATTAATTGCCCACTATGCACCTTCTTCCAACCCGGATGAAAAAGAAACAAATTTGCACGGTTACACTATAGTCTCGGCATTTTGGTATTGTTCTGGATTTTGGCTAAGTCATGCTGTTAAACATACTTTGGAAATTCCAATACTAGGGTTGAAAGTGGTTTCTCCATGTCAGCATAAAAGAACTCATCAAAGAATCCATTGAACACAAAATTACTACTACGTATCACTCTTTTAAAATTGATGATGTGGTGAATTTTAACAATATCACTAAAATAAAATCTCATATTTTTTTAAATTGTTAAAACTTTATTATTTATAATCTGATTGTTGCAAAAAAAATATCAAAAATCATAACTTTTTACTATCTTTCAAATGACATCAATATTGAATATATAAAAATTAAAAAATAATTTAACACTTAAAAAACTTCTATTTTTTAAAGTGATATAACTTTTTATTTGCACTCCAATTGTTAAAAATAGGAAATCAAAATTCATAAACTTTTATTACCTTTCAAATGACACCAAAATTGAATATATAATATTAAAAATAATTTAACACTTTAGAAAACATCTGTTTTTACAGTGATACGTAGTATAACTTTTTTATTTGTACTCCAATTGTGACAAAAAAAATATCAAAATTTATAACTTTTTATTATCTTTCATATGAAACCAATATTGAATATAGAAAGATAAAAAAGAAAATTAACACTTTATAAAAGGTCTATTTTTAAAGTGTTATAATTTTTTTATTTGTACCCTAATTGTTAAAAATATATATCAAAATTCATATCTTTCTGTTATATTTTAAGGGGGTTTTCCTTAAATATTATCAGTAAAAATGTGGTTAGAGTTTACATCACAATAACTTACATGTAGTTACTACGATTTAAATTGTGAACATAATTATAATCACTAATTGTTAGTGAGTAATATTTTTGTCCATCACATTTAAAAGAGTAGTACTTGTGGAATTTTTTCATATTACATATGCCGTCAATGTTTCAAAACTAACTACTCACTTTTGTAATTTATTTATCTAAAAATGGGTGTAGTCAATATTTTGGAAGATACACTAGTCCTTATTTTTTAAAACTAATGTAAACTAAATCAACTGTTACCCATCATGTTATGTAGTCATTAAAATCAGAATGCCACAAAACTATATATTTTTAAGTCTTTTTCTTAAAGAAGAAGTTAGAAGGACTAATTTAATTTTCTCAATTGTAAATCATATTAGGGCTTATGTCTTCAAAATAACGACCACACCAATTATTAAATAAATAAATTACAAAATGCGTAGTTATTACTTTTGAAAAACCAGTAGTAACAAATGAAATCTAATGGATAAAAATAGGGATTGAGAAATTTCTTTCTTTTTTTGTTTAGATAAAAATCGTTGAAAAGACGAAGTTCATTTGGATGCAGCTGTGAGTTTTTTAAAAAAATTGTCTCTTATAATTGAAAATATAAATTGCGAACGTATTTATGTATGAGTTAAAAAATAAGACATACTCGTTATTTTCCAATAAGGATGTTTTTACTTGGACTGGAATTTGCTGGTCTGGTCTGGTCTGATCTGGTCTGGTCTGATAAGGTCTGGTTTCTTTGTATTTTTATAACTATCCAAGTCTGGTCTGGTCTGGTCTGGTCTGAACTGGTCTGGACTGGTCTGGTCTGGAGCAAATTACAATCCAAGTAAAAACATCCTAAATAAGAATATGCATTATCAACCAATGTTATAATTGACTATAATAAATCATACATATGCCAGTCCGCACACACATATATATAATAAAACCAAAACAAAATCATTTTATTCCAGAAAAGAATGAATAGTTCAAGTATGCCACTTATTTAATTAGTCGATTATAACATTGGTTGATAAGCATAAATTTATATATACATGTGATGGGGATGACACTATGTGCCGTGTGAAGATTAAATGATATAAGAGCTCATCTATGGCTAACCCTAAAGTTACGTACATGATGTGTAACAAGAGAGAGTTTATCTCCTAATTACACCAGATTTTTTAAAATACCCGTGACTCCAGCATGGTCCCAAGTAAATGCATGCATACTCCGCATATATAGTAACCGAAACGCTAATGCGAGTGTTACTAACTCATGAATATTTTTAATCATACACATTAATTAATTGGGGTTTCAACTTTTAACCTTGCTTCAAAAAGTGACACCGATCAAATAAGGCATTCACTATTCTGCAAAAGTTTAGATTAAAGTCGTAGCAATCTTATCTAGGGTGCTCCTTACTTTTGTATTGATCTCCGATCCAATTGATCAGTTCTATTATTAATAATAATTACAAAATTTCAGAAAAAATACGTTTAGTGCGTCGTTTGGATATGAATAAAATGAAATTAATCAACAAGATATGGAAACGGAGAAGAAACTTAATGAAAGGGAAAAGCGATAACCTGATTCCGATCCTCCAATCTATGGATCGACTTGTAGTGTAGATTCAGAACGCTGTGATGAGAAATTTGGGAGAAACAATTAAATTGCAAGGGCGAAAGAATATTTAATTGGGCTTAGGGAAGACAGTTTGGAACTATGACTCCGAGGAGTGCGCGAATTGATGCGGATCGCATAAAAGCATATGCTTCAATTTCAAACTTAATTCGTCGCTGGCTAAATATATATATATAAGGAGATTTGAGTACCGGATAATAAATTAATTAATACAGTATTTATTTGGGTTAGTTCTTCTACGGTGGACCTTAGAATTTGTGTACATTCAATTTTTAACCAATCAAATTATAACAAGTTTCCACGACACTATATTTCTTACGGAGTATATTTCTAAAAAAAATGACTTTTTGAAGATGTCAAATTCTAAAGTGGCGTTGAGTAAAAAAAATTCTAAATGTCTTTTTCAAGATGAGAACTCATAGAAGAACAATAATTTAGCTATTGAAAATGAAATGATTAAGAATGACTACATCATTGGATGAAGAATATAGGAGGTGATAATAATAGAGTTAATTCCTTAAATATGACGTAAACATTGGTAAACTGTATAAATAGGATCATCATTGTTTCCTTCATAAATAAGGAACAATAATATGATTGATTTAGAGAGAATAAGAATTTATAATTTTTTATAAATGTCTTGAAATATTATTATTATAATTATTATGCATGCCTATGAGATCGGAAAGGGTTCTGCAATTTTTTGTAACATTAGACCCATTTTAATTTTCGGCCGCCCCAAGGCGTTCGAACATACAAGGCCGCCGTGATATCAACATGATCAAAACAAATTAAAGGTTTAATTTGGTGAATATAATTGGTTCCAGAACACTCTGATTCATCCATCACGGACTATAGTCTAATAGTTTTGTTGATCTTCTAATTACTTCTACTCCTGCAAGCTCTCAGGAAAGAACATGCATGGCTTTATGGTGATTGGGTAGACCATAATGTAATTAATTAATTTTTAAAATTTGTTAATAATTAGTACGGAGTATTTGAAACCTTACTCCGAACAATGCATTTTGAAGTTTGAACATAAAGGCCATTTAGAGCATCTCCAATGCTAAAGCGTTAACGGTGCATACGTGGCATGAGAAATAACCAATTAAAAAACAATAAATACAATATCTCTCTCCTTCTTTCCACGGTCTTATGTGTTTATGGTAAGTTTTTGTCTGTAATGTCAATCACAATGTCTACATCTAGACATGGTGCTTGACATTGTGAAGATAAACTTACCAAAATGATGTAAGATCCTTTAAATAAGGAGAGAGATATTGTATTTATTATTTTTTAATTGGTTATTTCTGATGCCACGTATGCACCGTTAACGTTTTAGCATTGGAGATGCTCTTAGCATCCAAACGCAGCAATTCTTGCTGTGAATTCTACAAAAAGATTATTAGTATACTATATACTCCGTATATTCATGAAATTAAAGTTTTTTAAAATAATTATTGATATAAGATCAATTTCTAGGGGGAAACAAGACAACAATTGATCACACATAAGCAGCAACAACAACAACGCCCAAACCAATTCTCAAATTTTTTTCTGATCATCTTAATTAATTAATCCTTGGGTTATTTTATCATCAGGATCGACAATCCTATTGTGAAACTTCAGGAGCGTGCGTAGCAGGGTAGTGGGGCGTATAATTACTTTGTTTATTCGGGGCGTATAATTACTTTGTTTATTCTTCACGCAGATTGATTAGGTTAGAAAAATTAACTTACAATTTATTGGGACTAAAATATACTTCCTCCGTTCTTTTTTAGTTGCAACGGTCAACATTTCACACTTGCCAACGCACATCTTTGACCGTAATTATATCTTAATCCCTATTAGTAAAAAAAATTAAAAATCAGATTTTGAAAATTTGTAATGAGATGAATTTGACAATAAATTTTTTAAAAATAATTTTTATAAAATAATAGCTTAAAATGTAGTCAAAGTAGAACATGTGAATAATGTAAAATTCAATATGTTGCGATTAAAAAAACGGAGGATAGTAAATAATACGATAGTAGAAATTATTATACAAGTACGACTAGTATGGTGATGTGGCATAATTCTCTAAATTGATTGGGCATAAAAAGTTGGATACCTTTAGAATATAAAAAGGTTGTGTAGAATTTTCCTAGAAATTATTATACAAGTACGACTAGGATGGGGTGTACAAAAAGTTGGGTACGGGTACCTTAGAATTTAAAAAGGTATAGTAGAACTTGACTTTTTTTAACCACTTAACTTATACTCCTCTGTCCCGAAAAGGTGGATCAAATTTACTTTTTTAGATGTCCCAAAAAGATTTGTCATTTCCATTTAAAGTAAGGAATTGAATATGTGGCTAAAGTTAATTCTCTCTCCTCTGCACAAATTGCAACCACATAATTTTTACTTTATTAATTCACGTGAAAGTCAACTTTGGCCAACCTTTTTGGGACGGAGGGAGTATTAACAGCACAAAAGCAGGTTACAAAGTGACAACAAGACTCATCATCACCTAACCTAGAAGCAATATAATTCGTTGATCCTGCTTTGGACTTACCCGAGTCAATGACTTGCAGACTAGACTCCTCATCACCTAACCTAAGTTCTAATGTTTGTTTGCTAGAAAAACGCAACACAACCAAAACAAAGTGCAAATCCAAAACATGAAAAATAAAAAATAGAGTGCAAGCAAAATAAAAGTATCTTTCAGCTAAAATAGCTGCCCACAGTCTCAAAAGATCTGGCAGGTCTGGGTCACAACACACGCCCCTATCGCGTTTTTGGGATATCAAGAGCTATAGTTTCCCCACTTCATCACTCTGCTCTTGCGTCTCCCATGTACATCTTCTCTTTGTCTCTCCTAATCTTCCTCCCACCTGATCCTCACTTGGCTTGGTAGAAATCACCATTCAACTCTGGTTGCTCTCCCCTACCTCATCATGCTCCTTCTCCTGGGTTGGCGCATCCATGAGAAACCTACTGTTACCACCTATTGAGGAACTTCCTTCTGACACCAGCCACTTGTTTCCCACAGATGGTCTGTTCTTCCTGCCTCCCGCCCACAGCCACGGGCCAAATAGCTTTGTCACACCCTGGCCACCTTTTTCATACAGTATAGGACAAAATTTCTCTGCATGCCCAATGATGCCACAAACAAAACAGAAACTCGGAACCTTTTCATATATGTAGTCTACTCAATATCCCTCCCCTTTGCTCTTCCTAATGGTAGTTCCAACTTTGAATAGTTTGCCTGCATCTATTCGAACTCTAACCCTCATATAAGTTTCCCATTTTTCGTCAAACTGATTATCATCCCACTTGACAAATTCACTCAAATAGTTCCCAATTTTTCTAGCCGTTCCAAGATTATCATAAGTATACGGTACATTGTGTACCTGAACCCAGAGCTCAACCGAGTCTAAGGGAACCTTAAGCGGTATATCCCCCGACTTAATGGCCCTTAAGATAAGCAAATTCTGATCAAATAGCCAAGGATCATTGTCCAACACACGATTCATATCAACCAAGTGAAAGAATTTGAACATATACCTCTTTTCTTCGATCTCCTTTATCAAGATGCCTTTGCCCGGGCGCCACAATGCAGCCAATAAGTCCTTGAAGATCTAAAAATGAACCACTTTATCCGTGAGAATCGTTCCTACCACCGGAAATTCCTCCGGTCGCTCGTCCCCCTCAACCGCAGACCCTTCCTCTTCGTCATCAATCACCAAGCCATCTAAATCTGCTCCAAAACCCATGTTGTCGTACTTCACTGCTAGGTTGTCCATCAGCCCTTCCTCCTCACTAATCCATTCGCGCTCACCCTTGTTCGCGAAGACCCTCGCTGCTTCGTCTAAGATTCTGCCGCCCTGCTCGCAAGCCTCATCGCTACACCTGAGTTGTTGCCGGCTTGCTTCAAGCCCTCGCCGCCGCACCGAAGTCGACAGGAAAAATCAAACCCTAATTAAGGGAGAGACCGTTTTTTTATTTGGGAGAGACCGTATTTTGTGTACTACCGTAGAATTTGACTTAATAATATTTAATCCATTTTTTCAGGAATTCGCCTTTCTAGCCTGAACAGACGGTTAGCAGTTGAGTTGAGAGTATCCGCCAAATGGTTAGAAGACAAGTCAAAAGAGGAAACAAATCACGCCCCTAGTTATACCTAGGAGTGGGAATAGGCCACGTGGCTTATCAGGCTTGACATGTTTCATAATTAAACTAGGCTGGGGACTTTTTAATAAACCCGTTTATCAAAATAGGCCAGGTTTAGCCCAACTCTGATTTGAATCCTTTTTACTTAACTGGACGGTCTATTTATATATGTGTAAATAGTTTATATATATATATATATAAATATATATATATATATATATATGTGTGTGTGTGTGTGTGTTTATATACTCCTTCCGGTTCTTAATCATCTTTACACTTTCCTTTTCGGGCCGTCCCATATTAAACTTTACACTTCCTTATTTTTCTTATTTGGCAAACAAATCTACACAAAACAGTGCAAAATAGCGCCAAACAGTGTCAAACAGTGTACTCTACAGTAAAGTCAAAATTATTTCCTTAAAAGCTGCGAAGTCAAAGTGTAAATATGATTTAGAACAGGAGGGAGTATTTAGTTATATTTATATTAGTATGCTTAGCTATAGTAAAATACGCATAATAGTATTTTATGGAGTGTGTATTATAAATGAAAATACTATTCCAAATATATAAAGTGTGTTAATAGGTTTTTAAGGTAATTGAGATTCAATTTCTTTCAAGATTTGAAGTTCATAAAAATTTATAAGCTAGAACTATGACATTCAAAGCAAAACAAACATATCATTAGACTTTGTAATAAATATTTGGGGGAAATTTTATATCTGGTCAAAAGGTTTTTGAACTTTTAATTTTTTCTTAATAGGCCCACCAAACAAGCTTCAGGAAAGGTTAGGCTTTTCAACAGGTCAGACTCAGACCGAAAAAACAAGCCTTTAACAGGCAACAGGCCAGATTCAAACCTATAAATTCTGAAACAGGTCTGATCTACCTGGGCAAAAGCTTGACCTGCTCTGACATGCTTTCACCCCTAGTTATACCTTGTCAATCTTTTCCGTGGAGAACGATTGAAATTGGAAAATTGAAAGGGAAATT